CGAGAGAGAGAGAGAGAGAGAGAGAGAGAGAGAGAGAGAGAGAGAGAGAGAGAGAGGGCGCGAGCTAGGGACTTGGATAAGGAGCTGACTCTAAACCAGACAGGACTTTAATAGCCAAAGAGAAGAGGAAGTAATGTTTCTCCCCAGGATGTCCCTAGCAGAGGATAAAGGAGTTTCAAGCTGTCATGGAAACAAAAGCACCTTCTTCATGAATGTGTCTTGCCAAATCCAGAATCTATTCAGGTGGAGGTTGAGCATTAGACACAGAAGGGATTGAGAATGCAGTAGAGAAGAGGATGCAACAAGGAAGAAGACGGGAAAGGGGACAGAAAGAAGGAAGGAAGGCACAGAAGGAGGAAGCAGCACACAAGGAGAGAGAAACTGAGGCAACAATGGGGAGAGGCGAAGGTAAGCTAATCTCCACATCAACTGGACTGAATTAAGAACCGACAGGGCATGAGTGAGGTAGGCCTCTGGGTGTGTCTGTGAGGGCTTTTCTAGAAAGGAGGGAGGGAAGAGTAAGAGCAGTACCATCCAAGGGCTGAGGGCTGGGCTGAATAAAAAGGAAAGCAGAGCAGGTAACTGCCAGTGTTCCTCTGCTTGCTGTCTCTTCATGCACTGAGATATGGTGTCCTAGCTGTCTGCTCCCAAGCCTTCATGGAGGACTGTATATCTCTGCAAAGGGGCTAAAATAAGCCCTTCCTCTCTTAAAAGTTGCTCTCTCAGGTATTTTGTTGCAGTAACAAAGTAACTAATGCAGTCAGGAAGAAAGAAGACCATACATATTGAAAGATGAGTGCTATCCCAGCACTCCCCACAGGGCTTCAGGGCAAGGTGCCAGTGGTCTCTGAAATGCCAATGCTCTCACTCCAAATCAGCTTGTCAGAGAAGCTGGCAGGATAGCAAGTGACTGTTGGGTTCTGGAGAAGGAGGTTCAGGTAAAATCACCCATGTGGGCCAACAGAACCAAAGCCAGGACAGGTTTGGCTTCTAGAACTAGAGAACATCATGTTAAAAACCTAAAGCCTCTGTGTGGAGTGCCGACCAGCTCAAACACCTTACTTGGCCAGCAGGCTCATGAGGTAGGTGGAAGTGTTGGTGTCCAGTCTCAGAGGAGGCACCGTGACATAGGCGGCTGCATGGGACCAGTCCTGGTGGTAGTAGTGCAAGCCCGTGAGTGTGGCGTGTGCGTTGGTGGTCTCGGCCAGCACCACCTTCCCTGGAAGAAGAGTCGAAAGCATAACTTGGAAGTCCCTGATCAACATGGTTGAGTTGTGCATCTCACTACGCAGTTAAAGAAGCAAACGGGAAAGGCTTGTCCCAGCTCCCTTGGGCATTCTGTTGACCCTGGGCAAACGACAAGGGTTCTGAGGCTAGGAATTCTAGGAATTCTAATGTGGTATGGATAGCTGTGGTATTAAGGCAGGATGATGGTAAGGCAGGCATGAGGTGCCAGGCCTAGTGGGCAGCCCAGCCTGTCCTCTGTGCAGGCAGGTGATGTGACAGCTTTAGAGATTCTGGGGTGGAATCTGGACAGACTCAGAGGGTAGGAAGTTGGAAGAGGGGTCCATCCAGCAAGCTGGGCCAACAATCCAGCTGAGATCCCTCAAGGGACCTCAGCTGAAGGAGAGGCAGAAGGTGGTGCCCAGATGTCAAAATGTTGTGAAGGTGATGACATCCATGCTGCTGGCTAATACTCCCAGGTACTACCTTGGCTTTGTTCCTCCTGTTAGCAGACCCTTACCAGCACCCCAGGCTACTAACTTCAGTACTACCAGGGCATCTACTGGGAGTCACATAAGTGCTCCTCAGGGGTCAAACGTAGGGTTCAAAGGGAGTTGGTAAAGGGAGCTGAGCCCACACAGTTATTTCACAAGTGTCTTCCCTCACCACCACCCTGCCCCCTACATGTCCACTGGAACCAGTTTGTTAGTTGCCAAGGTTAGTTCAACATAACAGACCAAAAAGCCACCAATTAACGAGTCAACTTAAGACTCAGATAATTTTACCTGACCTAGTGAAGGTAATAGACATTTCTGGAAAGCTGCTATGCGTGAGGAAGAGGACTGGTTCTCACTTACTGAGCCCAGGCTAGAGCAGAGCACCCCAAGGCAGACAGTTACAAAGAAATCTGTGGCTATCTGTGGTCTCAGAGCCTAGCCTGGCAGACTGTTAGCTGACGGACTCTTAACCTTCTCCCATCCCACTGCACAACATGTGCCTAAGCCTAGGTAGGACTCACCTTGCATCTTAGCAGCTGCAATGACATCACCAGCTGAGATACTAGACACATTGACCAGGTAGATGGGACAGTGAGTCTAAAGGCAAGAGACAGCAGGAAGTAGCAGTAACCCCATAAAGCTGCCATGCACCCAACCGCCCCTTGATCAGTCCCGCGCCAACATATATCCCTGTGTGTTACTCAACACCCATCAGCAAATGACAGTTTATGCTTGGGATGCAGGGCTGTGGTCTGAGCACACAACAGGATGCAGAACTGTGTGGAGCAAGGCGGAAGCAGACAGAAGCCAGCATTGGGGAATCACCAGCAACCTGGGAGGTGACCTCAGGTTGTAGCTGATGAGTGTAAACTTCCGATTTTCTCTGATCTCATGGGTTTTTTCCCGTTTTATTATTATTTTTTTGTTTATAAAGATGATAACCCAGAAACAGTCACACACTACATCCTGTACCTGACATCTTGATGCCTGTGGTCTGAAGGTTGCCTTATCAACAGACAGAATATACCCGGGAGAAAAACCAGGCTCAGAGTCTAGACTGGACCAAAACTGATCTTGTAAACATCTGGATTGTCATAGGTTCAGCTATTCTATAGAATTGTGCAAATGTAGTCCATGGCTGACCTAACTTGGGCACTTCTGATCAAAGAACCAAGGAGCTGAAGGCTGGTCAGACCCTTCTTTATTATGGGCTGGGTGTCTATCAGGAAAAATGTGGTATAACTGTTGTCATGACAATGGAACAAGCTCCAGACCTTTAAGGAGCTAACAGGCTGAGTTGATTAATCCTAGGGTTGGCTGACATCCAGCTTCCCTGTCTTCCACATTCGTAAAACCACAACTCAGTGTTTACATCCTTCAGGGCAGCCCAGGCTGTTCCAGAGGGGAAGGTCTCACGTAGGATCCCTCATTAGAATCATAGGGTTGGGGGAAAGCAGACACACTCTCAGTAAAGATTTCTGGGCACTATCTCAGTTTTTGATTTCATAGGTGAACCTGAGAGCTTGCTTATCTGAGCAAATCCAACTCTTGAGCGACATCTGCTGGGAAGAAGGATGGCCTCTCCCAGGCACACGGCATTCTCCCTTGCAGCTGTCCAGGGCAGAGCGGTGTGATCCTATCACCGTGATTTCAGATAATGAAGTAGTGGATCAGGGGGCTGTGATGTGCGGGCAGTGGAAAGCATGTGTTTATTGGGTAAAGAACAAGGCTCTGATTTCTGGCGCCCTCTCTTGCTGGTTCCTGACACACTCTCCGGTGCCTTGTTAATGGCTTCATCTGAACTGAACCAGGGAAAGAAGCTAGAAAACAAAGGCGCAGCACCAGCATACAGATAAATTATAAGTGTGTAAGCCATTTATACTTGAGCATTGACCCTCAGCTTCAGTGGCTTCATTGATCTAAGGGGTGGGACAGAGAGCTGGGGCAGGCAGGATGCACACCACAACTCTGGGACCAACACAGCCATTTGGCTGGATTCTGAGAGGCACTTGTGGCAGTGGCCTTCAGACAAGAACCATGGTCCCAGGAGGATGGCAACTACTTACCCGGTTTGCAATGGTGATGACACGGTGAGTGGCTTCCGCTTCCAGCTGTTAAAAACAAGGACGAGAAGGAACCACCCATTAACATCTCCTCCAAGCAGCTGCACCTGCCTGAGGGCTCTCTCTACAGAAAGTGTTGGGGAAGCTGACACAGCAGAGGGGCTGGCTGCACCCACAGGGGCTGGCTGTGGATAGGAGCAAGACCCTGGCAGGGGCCCTGGGCCCGAGCCACCAGGGTTTCCATGGAAAGAGAGTCCCAGGATTTAGGGTACTGGGTGCATCTTTGGCGGATGCTACACAGGGCTTAGAAAGGGAAAAGGGAGCGGCTGGGAGGAGAGGTGGGAGGGTAAGTTCTGATCAGGATGTAAAGTAAATAAATTAATTAATGAAGAAAAAAGGGGGTGTTTTCTGGGCAAGCCTGGTGATGTGAGCTGGTTGCTTGGCACTGACAGAATTGCTCTCTGCCACAAGTGTGCTATGGCACCCCTCCCCCCCACAAACGTTTTAAGGCAATGGAAGGATAGTAAACAACTTAGTCTCGCCTCTCCCTGTGTGCTACTGTATCCTCCCAATGGCAATCACAGACTTGCCGTAAATAGATCAAGCTGGAGCTTTGCCCAGAGCAGGGTTCCTGTACCCGAGCATTACTGATACCGGAACCCAAGTATTCTCTGTGGTTGGGCTGTTTGCACACTGAAGGATGCTTGCGGCGTCCCTCCCCTTTGTCCATCAGATTTCAGCATTAGTCTACCCACTCTCTCTGCTGAGACAGCTAAAAACATCTCTAGACACTGTCAAATGTTTTCTGGAGGGCCAGTCTGCCCTGGCACGGACCCAGGTCCCTGCTTTTAAGTAGCAGATGCTGATGGTAGCAATTATCACTGTTATCACCCATCACCCAAAGCCTTGCTCTTTCCTCTCTTACCTGGCACAGACAGCTAAGGCCGAGTCTGAGTCAGCCCTTCGTCAACCTTGATGTCACAGAGCCACCTAGTGAATCACGTGCTCCGAGTCTCCAGGAACCTAGGCAGCTGAGGATGACCTTCAACTTCCTGATTCTCTTGCCTTTCAAGTGCTAGAATCGCAGGTGTATACCCCATTTCAGTCTTAGGTGGCATTGGGGATGTCAGGACCTCACATGAGCCAGGCAAACATTTACCAACCGAGCTTCATCCCCAGCCCTGGTACAGATTTCTCTACTAATTCTGAGGTGCTCAAGCAGCAGCTACATTCGAGCCAGCGACCAACAGGGACAGGGAGAAGGTTGGAAGCAGCCAGGCCAAATTGGCTCCTGGGTGATACCAATGTGTGTAGACCACATTGAGTCTCCCGGAGATCTAACTACCTCCATGCTGTAATTGACTGATTGACTGAGATAAGCTATTGCTATGTAGCCCAGGCTGGCCTAGAACCTGTGCCCTTTCTGCCTCAGCCTCATGAGAGCTGGGAAGACAGGTTCCATATCATCCTCCCATTGCTCTGTGTTTTAGGCTTTGAAGAAAGAGGGGACCACTTCTGCCGTAAAGGGTGAGAATGTCAGAACAGGGCCCTAGCACAAGAAGGCATTCTTTATCTACCATGATTCTGCCAGAGCAGACTCTCTCAGCAGCAGACCACTGGGTATCCAAGTTAGTGCCCTATGAAAGTCCACACAGGGGTATAAGCAGAGGGCCAAAGGCCTTCCCTTCACCTTGGTGAGTAGTATGAGTGACAGGGTGTGGACAGACACATGCTCGTTTCTGGTGGGAAGAGTTCAAACTCTTTGTTAAGAATCTAGACTCCAGAATGCAGAGTCCCAGCTTTGAGCTTAACTTTCTTCTAACATGCAAAGGATCTATCCATCTCCCTCTTTTTTTTTCCTGTCCACCTCTTTTGTCTCCACATTCAATTCTGGATAAAGTGAGCCCTGAAACAGTCTCTCTAACACCTTGAAATTAGAATTCAATGGAGCATGGCGGGGTTTACCCTGTCCTTCTAAGGAAAGCCTCAGCATAGAGAAAGCTTTTTCTTGGGAAGCTTCCAGATGGGAATTTTACCTATGGGATGACATAGTTTTATTTTCTTTTATTTATTTTCTGAGAGAGGGTCTCACATAGCCCAGGCTGGCCCCAAGCTCGCTATGAAACATATTTTTGACATCTCTCCTAAAAGATTCCATGAGTGTTACAGTTTGAATAAGTAATGTTTCCCATAGTCTCATGATGTTAATTCTCTAGATAGTGGTGGTATTTCTGGAAAAAAGAGGCAAAAGAAGGTCATGGGGGGGTGTCTTCCCTTGGTAGCTCTCTGGCTACTTCCTATTTTGCTATTTGCTTACTGACTGATCATCTAGTGATCAGCCCTCCTTTGCCACATGTTCCTGTCACCATGAGATTCTGCCCATGTGGAAACATCCACCGAATTTGTTGAAACTATAAGCATGAGCTATTATTATTATTATTATTTTTTCCTCTCAGCCTTGTTTTCAGTGACAGTAAGCTAACAAATACAGGGAGTCTACATGAAAGAAAAGAAGCTGACCGCAGACACAGGAAGTTTCTCCTACCTCCTCTGGATGGCTGATCTCAATTCCTTCTGGGCCTGTGATACCCAAATCTAGAGCCTCCTTAGCACCCTGAACAACAGTGAGAAAAAGACAACAGAATTACAAAGGTACAAGAAACTACTTAACCTCAGGGACAGTAAACTATGTTCCTAGGCTCTCTTCTGTAATGTACATTTTCCAAAGGAGAAACTGGGGCCTCACGTAGTAAACAGCTCCTGATTTACTTCCCACTTCTTAAGGACTGTACGATATCTCTTATTCTTAAAAATACAGCCCAGTCGCTAAGCAAGAGCCTGTGTCGACCAAAGACAAACACCGCTAGTCGGTTTAAAAGTTGGAGCTGATTCTCTGGAAACCTCAACAAATATCTGGTATCAGCAGCTCTTAGGGTTAGCTTCACTCCAAGACAGCCAAGAGGTTCATCCTTTGTACCAGAGAACAGATATTTATGATGTAACCGTCCTGACACAGGTAGACGAAATGGAGTGTTGCTATTTATTTTGCATGACTACATCTCAAAAAATATTCTCAAGAGATATTCTAAATTATTTTGCTATAATAGAATTTATCATAACCTTCACAATTATCATCTAAGACTTAGAAACCTTGGAATGAATAAATTTTATATATAATTTATATTTCAGACCAAGATGTTCACACCTCACACCGTTTTACTCCTTGGTTTAAATGAACTTTGAAGGACAGTGACAGGTGGTCAGAGAGTCACTGTAAACTGTCTCCATTGTCCCCACCCCCACACAACAACTTCAATTGCAGACTTGCCTCAGCCACAAGCTCTCCGTTCTCAGCGTGGACCCGGGGGATGGCCCCAATGTCCCTGCAGGCATGAAACACTTGGTACAGCTCACTGTCTCGGAGCATGTACAAGTCTTTGTAGGTCATGAACATCTGGAAGGAGTTGACCCCCTTCTCCCGAACCAGAGTCTCCATTTCTGCTTTCACCTGGAGAGCAAAATGCAAAGTCAGTGCCCAGTAAGATGAGCAGGTATTGGCCCAGTGGAGAGATGGGGCAGGCTGTGGCTAACTGTGTCTCAGGTCCCAGGTCAGTGCTCTCTGCCTGAGCTGACCACTGAGCAGAACTCCCCACGGATGTTCCAGGTACCTTATCGGGATATCCTGAGCACACAGTGCTCAGTACAGGGAGCCACTGTTCTTCTGTGTCTAGCCCACGGCCTTGGACTCTATTGCAACTTGATGCTCACTGTGAATGCTGGGAAATGGGCACTTTAAGTTAGGCAGGATAGGCCTGCCCACCATCTCCAGGGACTCCTAAATGTTTTGTTTGGGACACAGGGAAGCTGGAGTGGTGGGTGAGGGTTCCGGCATACAGGAGAGCTTCAGGCCGCAGCCAGCTCCGTCACACACCCATTTGGATACCAGCCCTCTGGTGCCTTCTTTGAGGGTCCTATCAGCACTGTTACCTTGGGTGCCCACCAGGTGATCCCTACATGGAGGGCATAGTCACAGCAGACCTTGGGGTCAGCCAGAGCCCTGCACTTCTCATAGGCTTCGACAAGGGAGGTCTCCTTGTCTGGCAGGACGTGACCGATGATCATGGTGGTGCCTCCAACGAGGGCCGCCTGAAGGAAGAGGGAGGGAAGATGGTATTGTCACAGCTCTGCCTGTACTAAGTCACCATCATGGCGAGACACGGTGTTGAGGTGCACCCAGAACAACCACAGAGGATCAAACTCAGTAAGGCCTACTCAGAGGAGGTTTAGAGGTGTGACAGATGATCTTTAGCACTGTGGTTTCAGTGAACAAACCTCCTCACACAGAGTTATAGCTTGGTTCTTTGGAAAAAGCATTTAGCATATTGGGGAGCCCAAGCCTGGCTGCTACCTTCCCAGTAAGATCTCCCTCAAAGTGATTTTTGGCTGGCAACAAAATCAAAGGCCAAAGGATTTGTTTGTATATACCTGTAACAGTGGGAAGCATCAGCAAGAGTTCACGGAGAAAATCTGGTGATCTAGTTACAGACAGGCATTAAAGCACAGCGAGCTTTACTATGGGATTTTAAAGATATTGTCTTCTCACTTGTTTTGTTTGTGTATTTATCCAGACAGGGTTTCTCTGAGTAGCCCTGGCTGTCCTAGAACTTACTCTGAAGACCAGGCTGGCCTCGAACTCACAGAGACCCACCTGCCTCTGCCTGCTGAGTGATGGGATCAAAGCAGCGGTTTTACTTAACTTGGGAGGAACAATGGGTCAAAATTCACAAAATAAAGTACTGTTTTGGTGTGGGAGTTTTTAAAAAAACAACCTCACCTGCATCTTTCATATCAGTCCCTTTGTCCCCATGTCCCCTCTCCGAGCACGTGAGGATCATATCTGTCTTGTCTGAGATAGAGTACTTTTAGATGCATGACCGAATTCACAGGCTCCACAAGATACTACTTTAAATAGATTTTTCTCGAGCCGGGCGGTGGTGGCGCACGCCTTTAATCCCAGCACTTGGGAGGCAGAGGCAGGCGGATTTCTGAGTTCGAGGCCAGCCTGGTCTACAGAGTGAGTTCCAGGACAGCCAGGGCTACACAGAGAAACCCTGTCTCGGAAAAAAAAAAAGGTTTTTCTCCCCGTCTTGTGTGTGTTTGCACCCGTGTGTATGTACATGTATGTAAAGTGTGTGGGTGTGTGTGTGCACGCACAGGGATGTGCATGAGGGGGAGGCTCAAGGTGGATGTTGGGAATTATTCTTAATTGCTCTTCCATCTTACCACTAAGCAAGGTGACTCAAGCAAACTCAGAGCTCACTGGTAGAGCCAGTCTGCGTGGCCTGCTTGCTCTGGGGTCTTCTGACTCTGCCTCTCCAGGCTAGGTTCTGGGAATCCGAATTTGATTTATTTGAGCAGATAACTTTTGTGAACGTCCAAAACTGACATTACCCAAAGGTCAGGTAAATGTGCTGTTCCCAAATAAAACCCAGTTGTTATGATTAAAATAACCAAGGGAGGAGTCTGCACATGTGGGGTCAGCTTCTTGGTTGGACAGTTGGAAGAGAAAGTCAAATATCACTATGGAATGGTAAAGTGTCAACCCAATTAATTTTCCCGATTCATTCTGCTTTCCACAGGGGTAAAAAAGCCCAATGAAGCTGTAAAAAGCTTTATTTTCTCTATAAAGTCAAATTCCCTGATCACAAACCAGAGACACTCCAGGGTGCTAAGATGGAGAAAAGGAGTCAAGCAGCAAACAATTAAGAATGAAAAATCTCAGAGACTCAATGACCTGACTTCTTGCATTGCTTAAAGCAGCCAAGAGAGGGCGGCAGCTCTGTGTAATACACGTAGGCGTGGGAGTGGGGATGGGGATTGGGGCCGCACAGATTGTAGTTTACTAGCTGGCTTCTGTTCCCGGATCTGCTGGAGCCTGCCAGGCTGATTCATTCTTACAGCAGGTGGATGTACTCTGTTTTGTCCTGTCCACGTGCACATGGGGGAGTCTGATTTACTAGCATTGTATACCCTAAATTGTTTAGTTCTTTGGTTCTCAGTTGCTGTCCTTTGTGCATCTCAGCACAGCGGCAGCCGTGGGTGGGAAAAAGGGGACTCATGGAGACTGTAGTAATAAAGGACTCAGGACTGTTCTTAACATCTGGGACACCAAAGCAAAGGTAGAAAAGACAATTCATTTGCCAAATCTCCAAATACTCAACAGTGAAGATCGAACTAATAAACCGTTTTCCTCCTTTCGTGATAAATGTGTCCTTACAAGGGCCTCTGAAACTGAGCTATAATGCAGAGAGATTGCCTTGCCCTGGAGCCCACCCTACTCCACAACTTCCACCCTGGATACATGCCAAGCACACAGATCCAAACTCTGTCCACTGCTACAAAATGCCACCCTTGGACCCAGTGTGCACACATTTGTGTTCTGATCCCTAAGAAGAGAGGTCCAGGCTCGTGTGGATCCTGGAAGGCCTCTTGGCTTTTAGGCTGGGACTTTCAGGGACTAAGAGTGGTCTGGGTATAGGTTAGGGGACTCAAGGCTGACACAGCAT